AAAGTATCAGTGATTTGAGTTCTCTTTCTTTTCTTGGTTGGAGAAGTCATAGACATTTTAATTTTATGTAAAGAATGCGCATTCTCCAATCATTTTATTTTTATTTATTTTTATTACGTGATATTGATATGACTGTAAGGAGGTATCTACTATTTGTCGGTCCTGTGATAGGGATGGGACTGTATAGAGGTAAATTTACTATAAAATCTGTAAAAAGGTGTATCTCTTTATTTTTGACTTCAACTTTCAGTGAAAAATGACAAGACTCGAGAGTTAAGTGATTTTGAGTGTGGCATGGTTGTTGGTCTTCACAAGGGAAATTACTCTGCCACAGACATCCCTAGAACGACTCGTATTAATGTAATAAAAAAGTTTGAAAGAGAATGGAACAACGTTATTTGGAGTGATGAATCCCGCTTTCTTTTGTATGAAAATATCGTGTATGGCGTAAACCTCACGAACAATATGATGTAGACTGCATGTAAAAAGACATTATGGTTTGGGTTGTTTTACGAAAAAGAGACTTAGCCCTTTAGTAATTGTTGATGAATCAATTACAGCAAACACATATAAATGCTGTTAGAAGAGCATTTGTTAAGCTTTGTACAAAGTCTTGATGATAATATTGCATACGCGTTTCAAGACGATAATGCACCTGTACATGTAGTTGAATGGAAAGAGGAAAATTAATCCAATTGAGCATCTATGGGATTTCTGAGTCAATGGGTACCATCCAAAAAAATTGCGGAATCAGTGGTTAAAAATTCCCACCAGCGATTTAGAGAAATTAGTAAATAGCATGCCACTGTGCTGTGATTAAAATAAAGGGAATTCCACAGATAAAATTCAAAGAGTTCATAACTAGACGAGTTTATTGGTATAAAGTTTGTTATGTGTACTCTACTGGAACATACGCCACATCACCACTATCTATGTAAATATTGGATTTCTGCATGGTAAACGAACATTGCATATTTGCACGACGCTATTGCATACAGTGTAACGTAGAAGATTTTTCTGTAGGAATGGTTATAGTGCTTAAATAGTCTATTTCCGTCGTCATGCTCTGTGAATTACGCATTATTGACGGTTACACAATACACGTATGCAGTTGGACCGTCAGCGAAGCGGCGGGTTAACAAACTCGTTTCGTTTAAATATGCTTGACAAAAGAGAAGGGTATCGCTCTTACAACAAGAGTCTGTACGTTGGATTATACAGATTGGATCTGAAGCAAAGTACTCCATAGTCACCGCCAATGAAGTTATCATTTACAAAAACCATAATTATAAAATAGATAAAAGTGCTCTTAGTCATCATATAAAGAGGTTTCATAAATTAGGAGGTTAATTTTGGTACTTGTGTATAAAATGCAAACCACAAGCTAATTGTCAAGAACGCTGTAAAGATTAGCCACAAATTTGTAACTATTAAAGCGTTTCACGGCATCGATTGCATAGACCATGATACTTTTTTAGTACTCACTATGACGGATCTATTACCCGCACTGATAATCAGGGAGCGAACATCAGTACCACTTGCATCGGCATAATACGGAAAGCACGCTTGAATACATGGTCCTACGTTCTCCTTTGGGATGGATGCAATAAGAATATCTTAACATGAATGACTTTATTGGATATTGTAAAAAGGTCTTGATGTAGTTACTATTATACAGAAAATTAAATAAGTGATGTAAGTACATTGAGGGTATATTAGGACGTTCTATGTATTTATAATTCCCCCATCAGCTTTCGTAGACACATTAATAAAAGTCCGCAAGAGAACTTTGGCATCACTAATATGTTATCATCAATTCACAGTGGGCTGCAATGAAAGGATTCCACGTTAGTTCTATCAAGTCTTGACTGTACACAAAAACTCCCGCATTTCGTACTTACTTTGTAATCATTTTACTCCAAACGCGTAGACGAAACTCCAAGTACTTTATGTGAAAGCTCGATTGAGAACAACCCATTGCTGAATATATGCGAAGCTGCTGACGGAAACCTGAATTTGGACTGAGTTTGATAATTTTAAAGTAAATCTATGGCCGGCTTGGTAATTAATACGTCGTTGTGTATTTCTTTCCTTATTTATACATACGCAATAATAGACCTTCTCTCTGCAACATAACCCAAAGCATCATCAAGAACCATATTTTTAGTCTTCATCAGATATGATATAATTACTGCATTCCATCAATTTGAACGGTGATATATTAGTACATTCTTCACCATAGATTTTCTATTAACCTCTAAAATCAAATAACATGTACCAGATGCACTTCTTGAGACACCAGCTTGACAGTGTACGAGCACTCTACCGTTTTTGCTTAAAGCGTTTGAAATAAACTTTGCGCTCGAGTCAAAATGTGCGAGGATGTTTTCGTATGGATGATCGCGTATCGATATAATTTTGTATGTGAAATGCTATCGAGAGAAACAAACGTATGTAAGTTGTAGAACATATAAAACGCAGTTGTATCATTCAGAAGGGTATGCGTGGTTAGATTATTGGTCGAGGCTGGAACGTATAAAGTAATTGAACGATGATAGAAAAGACTTACGCCAGGGAAGGCAGGTGCCAGTCCAGAAGCAACGGTGAGAATATGCGTTATTTGGTTTTGGTCTAGCCAATCTTTGTCTTTCGCTGAAGCATAGCTGATAATGAGATAAAAAAAGTTGTTACTAATATGTTTAGTGATTGTTTAGGAGAAACAAATACCTTTTGCAAAGTCAATGTCATGAAGTAAATTTGCTCCTATTTTAATTACAGAACTAGGCATTTTCGATATAATATCTCCTCCAACCAACTTCTCCATAATTCAACCTACCTTCCCAAAAATACTCCTGGAACAATTTCGTCTCCAAATAATATTTGTTCCGCAGGCGTTTTATTGAATATTTCGACGCTTTCGTTTTGGTATGCGAGTGATTTTTCAGCGTCTACCAAGATCATGGCTGATAAGTTGTGAAAGAAAGTATGGTGTGCTGTTGTTATGTCCCTTAATAGTTGAATATATCAAATATGGCTGCGGTGATGCAGATTCGCGTATGGATAATCCGCGAACGTATTTACTACTATATCGACAACAATCCTTCGTTATCGCATAATTAATAGTCCTCTGATGTAACGTTGAAGGTATATATAGAGTAACAGTTGTATAGTGATTATTACGAGTGGTGATTATGGCAAGTATTACTCCTGTAGTGACTGATATTTATCGTAGCCCACCGCTATTGCCTTCCCACTACGATTTGTCTTATATGTCGACCGAAGAATTAAAAATGCGCTACAATCGATTAGATATGTGTGGACTCTAAAGATGACTCGTACTTTATATACAGAAAAGCGTAGTACAAACCTTAAACCACTAGAATGACTTTGTTTGTGCAATTGTGTCCATCATGTGGAATGTGCATAGTGTAACTTAGAATGTTGGAATACCACAACGAATGAAGTTAAAGCCTTACCCGATTAAAAATTTAACGCGGGAGTTGATTATCCGGTACTTTTATTTATATAAAGCTCACAAGAACCCATCGTTATCCAACGTAGAACTATAAGAAGTGGCCTATTTTTTGGCTGCTGACACAAAGAGTATTACAACTTCAACGTCGCACATAAGCGGTCATTAGCCAAAATGGGTATTTGCCGAATATCCGTTCTGCACAAATGTCTGTATTACGTATCCTCAACAGTCACACGACATTAGAGATGGAAGAGGCACAAGCCGCATATTGATAAAACAAGAAATACAACAAAAGCATGAATCAAGAAAATTGAATCAGCATATAAACGGGCAAATATTACGGAATGAGGATGCCACAATGAACAAGTGCTCGGAAAAGTACAGCAGACAAAGCATCATTGTTTATATATCACGGCCTCAGTTCCGTGCTTTTCTCCGGTTCCTTAACAATCAGCTGCGTTGCATCACAAAACGGACAAAGTGGGCATGTGATATCACGTTATTTACGTTTGATAGAACAAACCGTTGTATGGATTAACCAAAGCGGGGAAGTCTGGCCGGTGGATTCTTCTACTCCTGCCCTCATTGCTCTTTAGCAGCTAAGGCCTTTTGCAAGCAGGCTAATTCTCGGCTTTTGTTAGTATGTTCAATACTTTCCCATTTTCCCGTCACGACTATCCTAACGATAATTTAGTAATAATAGGTATTTTTAATCATTTCAACAATTTTGTCAGCATAGGAGACAAATGCTGCCTCATAAATTATGCAGCTGGAATATTTATTATTACATATATTTAGCAATTACTATTACTTTGTTCCATTCAGGAATAATATTATCTTCATTCAGGAAGAGCCTGTAAGCAGCTTTAGAGGTCCACCTTAGTTGCGTCTAATAAAGGACACGAAACCAGGAAAGAGCTTGTTTGCTCAGAAGTTGCTTATTATAGTGTTCTTTCATAATTAATCGATAGCAATTTGCTGGAATATGTTTTACGTCATTTATCGCTCCTGGTCTTCCGTTTCCGGTTGATACATTTCTGGTAGCCTGTTGTATCGTAGGCATCAATGTTCTACGTTTTAACTGGTCGTACATCGCTGCAATTGTGAATAAAGAATAACACCGTTATAAGTATGACGTATAATAAAACTCTTTGTATTCGAACTTGCCTGTAATTTTGTGAACTGCCGACTTTTCTTGGAGCTGGTCTTGGATTTCAATATTTTTCCTTTTCTCGATTTCCAACTCCTTTTCTAAAGCTTAGTGCGTGATCGAGACAGCAATTATAACATTAATATAGGACTAATATATACAAAACACTACCCGCCTATTTATTCTTACCTGACAGCTTTTCTCTTAATGCTGTCTGTGCTTTCTTTGCTTACTACATACATATACATTATGTTTCTCATATAAAATGTTGTGTCCTGTTAATTCTCTGGGTGGAATGTTAAGTCGGTACCCAATAGCATTGAAAATGATAAGTGCCTTGATGTTTGAAACATTTGTCTTGCTTATTTTTTAAAGGCCTGGATTCTGGAAAGGTTCATAGTAAATTCTTGGACTGTAACTAATACTAACCAGAGTTAACCTCGATACAATAAAAAATGCTCGACAACTTTGACTATATGATCAATGCACGTTCGTTAATTTAATAAGAAAGCAATCAAATAAAGTATTGCAATGACCTAGTCTTTCTTACCTGCTTGTCCAGTTTGTTGGTATCAATACCAGCGACAGACAATAGCGAAGAGTGCCTGAAGATCAGGGTCCTAATGCATTAGTATTGCCAACATAGACTACATCTGGACATTGAGAAAGCGCGAGCGTGTACTTCCGGTGTCGTAGTATGAAACATGGCTAATGTTGTCCACGATCGCATATTCATAAGATTCGATGTTGATCACCGCTTGGTTTGTCCGTTCCGATAGAATATGACTTCTTGTGAGCTACACAACATGTGCTAGACTAGTTTTAACTTGATACAGAATAGAGATGCGAACTACATGAGGGTTTTGTCCATTCCGGGATTTTCCCTATAGTCATTTGCGTAAACTGGCAAAATACTGTCGTCGCGCACTCGGAAATCGACCTTATGACAGAATGGACCTTTTTTCGTTCGATCATAGATACTGCAGTCAATTGGATTTTCTCTCACGGTCATGTTCCGAAGAACCTTATCAGATTTTGTAAAGGCCACAAACATACCCAGCAATTCCCGTTTTCTAATTCGCCCTCTCGAGCTCGTTCCACGGATCCTCTGTCCTGACAAGTTTCTCGTCAGCAATTAAATCAATACTGTCAAATGGCTTGTTGGCAGAGATGTTTCCATGCAATCTCTGATCGCTCATCATCTTTTTTAAGAAAGCCGCTTTAATCACAGCTCCTTTTTCCGTTTCAACTCTTTGTTATATTTATCGTTTAATGACTTCTTGGATGTTGAGGTAAGATAAAAAGAATAGAATATGATGGAGACAGCTTGTGGCTTTATGTTGACTTTTTCTGGTTATGCCCCATATAAGGTTTACTACTTTGAACGTACAACTCAATAATAGGCTTTGTTGGTCGATGCAGTATTACTGGCTCGTTTTTATTTTCCATGCGTTCCGTACAATTTATTTTTGTGAAGCGAATGTTTGAGGAATACTTTTTTTTTTATATTACTAATATAGAGTCTATAATACCGTATTAAATCTTGATAGACCATGCGATTGCACAGCGCGAACTATCATTCTTAGACTCATCTCTATCATAAAAATAAATAACAAAATAAGTGGGGAATCAAAATCGAAAGTAGTCATTAACATTAATATCTTACGCCATCCACTCACTCGTTCATCAATAAATGTCCTTGGGAAGTAAAAAACTATCTTCAACAAACCCCGTTTTGGTCTTCAATGTTACTTTCATACCATAAATCTTCCTCTCCTTTTTACTAAACAAAGCAAAGAACTTGATTGCATACGTCCCAGAACTATCCTCCCAATTCCAGTCCTTTAATTCGAATTGTTCATTCCCTCCTCCCTCTTTACTAGCCAACCACGCCCACCTTTTCAATGTCTCTGCATCGATGAACGGTTTCCTGGAAGCCTCCTTGATCCAAATTTCAAGAACATTTTGATTAGTCCATCCAGGTTTATGCTCTATTGGAATATACATCCTTTCTTCGGATTCTACATCATCACATTGGATCCAATAAAAGAGTTTGACTTTTCTGTCGGCTTCATAGGACGTTTGCGTTGGAAATGAAGCCGAGTTGAAGGCCTGTACCACGATACTGGATTTCTTCCCTTCTTGATCCCTTACAGTATACCGAATCGAACAAGGGTTCGGTAATGAACTGTGAACCCTCCTCGGTCCACCTGTTAACGACTTGTACTTCGTGTAATCCAGGGTATATTTCGCTTTAATGGCCAACTTGATCACACTTTGTGCTCCTAATCGAATAATAGCATCCGCTTCACTGTTGGTCTCGTAATAAAACTCGGACCGTTTACTTCCGGAATAAGTTAGTGCCGGTTGCCATTCCCCGGATTTACTGAGAATTTCTGATTCAATTTGAACAATCGACAAGGGCGAATGAGAATTATTAGTAACACGAAATTCTGTTGTTAATATTTGCCAGGCGCCAGAGTAGTTCCAAGACTGTTCTGGGAAAACTTTGCCTATTTGTTGCAAGTGTATTGGCGATTCGTCTATTGATTCAATCACTTCCTTGGTGGGATCCACAGGTGCAGGATACCCATCTTCTTTTAATACTGGACCTTTTCTGACCTTCTTCGGTAACTTATAATGCATATCAACCGGGGGTAACATTGCTTCTTGTATTACCATGCTATTGTTCACTTCAAACTTGCCATCCGGACCAATTCCAAATTCGATAACTTCCACCTGAGGTTGGGGGTCAGACATGGACTTTATAATTAATTCGATAGCGCGACGGCCCGTCGAGGAAGTTATAAAGTGTGCGGAAGCGTGCCATTGGTCTTCGTTTATGTTGCTTTTGATGGAGTCAATCAGTTCTTTAGACGTGAATGAAAGTGAATTTATGGTTTCTTCGTCGAAGACATGGAATTTTATTGATTTTGTTGCGTCATAGAGACCTTTAAGGGTTTAGACAAATTGACAAAGTCAACAGATAGATCGCAATAATGTTGCTAATTAGCGAACGGTGACATCACATTGTAAATCAAGACATCTCCCCAATCAAAACAAAAAGCACAAGATTAAAACGTGACAACAAACCTTCACCAAATTCAATGTATATTTGATTCGTTTTGGGAGCGTGTCCCACTTGAATCCATCTACGTAAATAATAGAGTAAGTAAACCTCATGGACATCCTCATTATGTGATGATTGACATTAGAGAAAACAAGGAAGTCGTGTGACTGATTGTAATATATCACGTGAGAGTAATTAGCGTATTCTGCTCCGACTTCTATCTTGCTTTAAACCCTCATAATTCGTTCACTTTCTCGTCCTACAGCTTCACTAACATCCCATTAACCATAACTCCAATACCCCACATTCCCCATTCACGTACTTGGGTTTATCGTCAACAAAGTCTGATCTCGTGACTTGAAGCCTGTTAGAATAGATGATATGATTAGTATGGACAAATTTGAAAAATTAAAGTAAAAGGTATTAGGAGATCCAGCATTTGAAATTGCTGCAAGTAAATTAATCGTAGCAGAAGTTCATAAATCATCAAAGAAACGCCACCAATTTTATAGTTTTGATCAATCACCCAAGTCACATTATCTACTCACCAATTTTCCAAACTACTCTCTTCCTTAAACTTCATGAACCATGTTTTATAATCCACCGGAATAATTGTCTCCCCATCTCCAATCACATCCGTTGCAGGATCGTTTTTTTCTAACAAAAACCCATCAGACGTCCTCAACTCGATGAAATAATTATCATCATCTAAATCCTTTGCATATTTGCGAAATCTAACAGAGATATCTTGTAGAACTTTGTTGATTGTAGGAGGAGGGTTAGAGGACTGGATAGGAACTACGAGCTTTGTATCGTTCCAAACTACTTTGATGCGGGGCATTGGGCGTGAAGATACAAGAGTTCTTTGAAGCCTTTATCAAAAATGACCCAATTTGTAGAAGGAAGAGAGGTCTTAGTTGGTGTTGGTCCCAAAGCAAAATTGCTTCCCTTAAACCTGTATCAATTCCCTCTCTCGCTGAGTTTAATATCCAGGAAATAATCACTATCGTCTTTATCGCCGTCGCTGATTGCCACGATAGGGTACGAGTCTATTACTATTTACGCTGGGAATTCGTGAAGTTTTTGATATTTTTCATACAAATTAGATTTTCACACAAACATCTGATCGGATGAACAGATAAAGGATATAATAGGAAATGCGTAATCAATATGAGGAGAATGGTGGAGAGATTGAGTAATTATATAGTTAATAATTGATTCCATTGGACCGTAAATTATTGTGTCAACGCCTTATATCGTATGCTGCTCTCTTAATAATTATTAATCTGAAGCAGTTAATTGGGTCGCCAAACTTGTTCCGCTTACGAAAATATTACCGCGTGCGTAACTCTTTGATTATTGTAGATAAGAATATAGTTTTCCAATTGCCTGCAACCATTTGTATGTTGTTCGAACGTCGTTGCACGAAAAGGTAGCAACGCGAGACAAGTATGAAATAAAGTATGATACAAAGACCGGAATACGATGTACGATACATACTTGTCCCTAACGATAAAAATTCTACAACACTTATTGGTAACAAGTTGCACAACAACAGAATTTAATCACGCTAATCCAATAAAGTCATCGTGTGAGCGTGCATACATTGATATGCATATGATGCAATTTATGCTTTTATTCACATCGATTAAATTTATTAATATGCTCCTCGGATCAGACCGGATCGAAGGCATTAATTAAGCCTATCTCATGTGGAATTTGCCCCGAAATAATTACCCCATGGGCCAAAGGATCTTCATTTGAAGAGTGAACCCTGAACTCTGATAGATTACAGAATTTTGATGCAGGATTTCGTCACATGAACATTTTTGGATTTGCGGGCGCGATCGAATTGGCGAATCATCGGTTGTTTTATATTACTCATGATTACTGCCGTCAAAAGCATATCCATCTAGGAAGGCAATGATAGAATTAAAACGAGTTGATCAGTTGCGTGATTTCGAAACTACTTTGGTATTGTTGCAAGGGATTGATGACGTAAAATATGACCGCATACTTCATAGAAACCAGATTAAAGTTTATACGAGTCAACTGCTATGCAACTAAATACAGTCGTCTCCCTTTATAGTCACGGCATCGGTTTGTGTGCTAAATCAGTGATATATGGGAGTGTGACTATATGGGAGTGTGCTTTGGTCACAGAACTTCGAAAAAATATATATACTTGAGTACATTTTTGATTCAAATCGAAATCTAATGTTTGATATTTGATATACCGTATACTACCGTGAATAAGTACCCTCCCTATAAGTAAAATTTTCGATCGTGAACCAAGATTACCTAGATTAACTGCATGGCGTTCCCCCCACCCGCAGTTTATTACGTAAGTACACAAATCAAAAAATTTTTATTTCACAATAATAGTACGCTTCTGGTTATTGTAATTACTGTTGTAAGCTACCCCTTAACGTTGTTGTGGATTATACTTTACGTAATGATTTACCGATTATTTTAATAATGCCGATAAGAGTTGACGATCCTATCGTGAATAAACACCCCTCACTATGATAAAGGTGGGTGCTTATTCACAGTAGTATACGGTATCTAATATACGTGTATTTGGCGACTTAAAACATACGATAATACTACTGCAAAGCATCAATTGCACTAAGTTATAGTTGTTAGATGTGAGCTAGCCACAGTAATATAAGATCAAGAACCATATGGTATGGCGCTAACCACTGAAGTTATAACCTGTTAACATTAGCAAACGGCGTAGCCGCCCATAAATAAAAATAATGAGAAAGCCGATATCCTAAAAATACATTTCAGAAGAAAATTACGGTCTAGTCTCTCTCCTTAAAATTTCGTATTCCTGGCGCCAATTCGTTCATGTGATATGGATTATCGGTACGTATTGTCATTGTAAACAGACATTGATAGGATCATGCCATAAGTCAAGCCGTCATTGATTGCATCAGGCCATAAAGTCAGGCCATCGTTGATTGATCCGACATTGGCTAATGGAAATTCACAGTTGAACGACGGTTCAAAATATTCATAATCTCAGTACGGTACAGAATTGAACAATATATTCTACAAGCATTCTTAATTCAACAAGAAGATACGAATGAGTAAATAAAGTTGACACGTAGTCTCGAGAGATATATCAGATAAAACAGTTAGCACGATGAAGCAGTATTTCAATCAATTATAATACTGTAATAGGAATGTACTAATAAATATCATAAGTACAAACTCGTTCTTATTACATAAGTAATGGTCATGTAAATTCTATAAATGCACGCCCTCAACTCTCAGTCTGAAGGGAATGCATTTAGGGAGACTAGATTAGATTACACGTAAATATTAATATTAATATGTCCCAATTATAAACCGTTTTATTTAGTAGAATATTAGTATTATGACAGAATCGGAGGAGTTGTGAACGATTTTAAATTGAGACCAACCGTTACAAAGTCACTGTGACTTGACATTTGTGCCAACTGAAACCGGGTAGACTAAGGGAGTATCAAGACATGAAAGTCTGATATTTGTCATGCGTCGAAGATTAATAGTTCATTCGATAAAAAACTAACTTTTTTAAGAGTGAGCCTGTTGGTTTTAAAAGAACATTTTTTCGGGATGTTTAAATGACTCGAGACGACTAGTATGGCCGCAAATAGTTCAGACTTCAAACTTGGTCTAGTCATTAAGTATATCCTTGTTAACATGGAAGAAATGACGCTTATGATAAGCGTCCAAAGCATACGCGTATTACAGTAATCTTGGTAGAGTTGGAAATATGAAGCATTAAATGATTAGTAATGGGAAATCAGTATACGCTGTTATCTAGTGATAACATTGCCATCTAATAAAGAACTCAAACCACACACTTTTGTTATTTAGTCTAACTCTCAGCAAGGAACGTTCTTGGAAGTACTGATCATAATGCCGCAATATGTGTGAGATTTATTGCGCCTGCCTGATGGGTATTATATGATCATATCAGCTGCCTTTTTGTACCGGACAGTAGACTAAATAAGTATGATGGCTCAAGAGGAAGCCTCTTATGGGCAATTAATGTACTAGAGAGACGGAATATTCGAGGCTAAGCCATGTCGATCGTTCTGGCATTTACGCTCAACGATATCAGACACACAAAACTCATAGAATTACGGCTGTTAAAGTTGCTTTCAACAAATTCATAAAAAGGCGATAGGGACCATAAGTAACGAAAGAATAGCCAATAATGCTTCCAACAAATACCAGTAAGAAGTACTTCACATATTTTCTGCTATTTTGTTACAGTCCTTCATATTGGGCCTAATCATGTAGAAATCCAGAGCAGCATCGAAAGTCTGGACATCCTTATATGGTAAGAATGAGATCAATCAATAGACTTTCTTCGTTATTGTATTTACTACTATCTTGCTAACAAATTACAGTTTGTGTAACGCATACTACAATTTATCACATGCTATTCTCAGACACTGCCTCAAATGGACGAGTTTTTTAGAATTTAGCTTTAGATATTAATATGACGCGCCACATTTCTATGTGGAATTGTTAAAGATGTCATCCGGTTACGTTTACCAATAATAAACTACTTGGTACGCTCAGAGGAAATAGCATAAATAGCATTTAAAGAACTGGATCATTCAAAGGCAGTGTTGGCATTTCTCGTTTGAGAGGCACTATTAGCATAAGCATTGCTCGCAAGTTAATTATTATCAACTATGAAGACGTTGACCTATTTTTCAGTTTTTCTCTTGGTCGTAATGGTAAGAACTACATTATATGTTGGCACATACCCTTATATGAGTCGTTTACCATTCGTCACATTTCAGGCCCGTCTTGCTGCTTCTACGGTAGAGGATAGGAGTGTTTACATAGCTATTCCTAGCGATGGTGATTACACATGTTGCAGTAATATGATTGGCCCGCAGCTAGGTACAAACAGAGCAGTTGGGGGGTTTTTTTTGCCATATCCCATTATCATAGAAATGTGTATTCACACAACTTTTCTTTTTCATTCATTACAGCCAGTCTCACGTTTTCATTAGGCAAACTATCATCAACCACAAGCATATCGTCAGCAAATGGTAACATAACGTCGCCGGATCACCTCACTTTGTCGTATCTATCTAACAATCAGCCAATAGCATACATCGTCCCCCAGTCCGGTATCGCATCCTTACGCAGTGGTAATAAAAACGTTGCCAACTCGGTTAAGTGTAATGTCTGGATTGGAAACTGTTTACTAAACGTAAAACGAGTTCTTGCTAATGAGAGCATCTGTGCGTGGATCTACAATCCAACATTTAAGCCAATGAGCCTTAATATAGAGAGTAGGTTCTCTGATGATCCAAACACTGGGGGTCTTTCGACCAGTAGTGGAAGTAGCTTGATAAACGTGTTTACCAATGGCATAAGCGGAAGTGGAGCATTTCTAATTAGTTTTCTGTCGTTTTGTATTGCTATATTTTATGGAATTTAATTGATCGATATGAAATCTATTACTGTATGTAAAGGAGAAGGTTTTACAGTGTGCACGAAATCACGCGTTCTAATGGTAGTTGATATTGACTTTTACCGTGATAAACTTATTTAATAAAGCAAACAAGTGGTTCCAATTTCATCGAATCAAGAATACCCAGAATTTTGTGAGGGTTGTGGGATCCACAATCCGAACTGGTGACGAAGAGTGCAGATATTGACTTGGACAGTTTACGCATCTCAATGTATTTTTTCAATCAGCTTAAAATTAATATTGTATCCGAGTTTACCGTCATATTCTCCTTCATCCAAGTCGGTTTACAGTTTCATATAGTATACACGGTAAGTACCACGTAGAAGACTTTTCTCCTGTGCCAGCGCCTATAGAAGTCTCGAGTAATCTGTTATTCTCTCCGATGGGATTAAATCGGAAGTCTATATGTTCGTAGCTATATCAATCGCGTTTTGTAGTAATCAATTAACTATCGTATTTGCCGGTTGTGCGGATTATACACGAGAATGTTCTTCAATTACTCCGATTTCTGGCGAAAATGTTGAAAGCCGCTTAAGTAACAGCTATACATATTTTTACATAGCGTTAAACAAATGTATACGCATAATTGTAACCATAATGAGCATAGACTAATGGATTAAGTTCCATCTCACAATAAACACACCCAAGTTCATTTCTATTCTAAACGGTAGTAGTCAATAAAAGTACCGAAATAGAGATTGCTGTAATGCATCGAGAGATGGTTCATTGAGTTTCGTCTTTGATAGCAACTGCAATACAACCCCGTTTTTAGCATTATGCCAATAACGTAAAATCTATCAAGCTGTCTTTCTAATAAAACAGGTTGCTTTTACTTTGATTGAAGCTTGCCTGATAACTAACCTAGCCTTGTATCGTAGCATGTTGATTTGCGAGCAGTGGCGTCGCTAATACTAAGCAATTCATTTGTCATTGAAGAAGCCACAACTCATATGCAAAGACAATTATACTATGTCTGACATCATGACCATTGCCTACGTTTGTAATAATAATCATTATCGTTCATTAATAACAACAGTAGAACCTTTGAGTATATGTGGAAACCGACTTTATTGCAGATTGGGTTACCACTTTTTGCTTGATGTGATATGACATCATTTCTAATCAATGTTATAAATTACCACATAGTAAACGAAACATAGGGAACTTGATTAATTAATTTAGACCTTGTATCAGGGGAAACATACCCATCACCAAATAAACGGATTGACTTTAAACTGCATCCCATATATTTTAACAATGTATTGATATGTTCATCATTAATGCCATTAATTCTAAGAAAGAATGATTCAATCCTTGCTGAACAAACAGATAGAAAGGAAGTGAAGGTTTCTGATGGTAATTGATGAAAGATTATCAACTCAAAAACCTTTACTGTTTTAGGTAAATTTTCTCCAAGTGAAAGTAATACTCTTGATAGTAATCCATTATTTTCCTTACCAAATTGAGTTCCACAAATAACAATAGACAAACTTTCCAGATTTTGCCACAATGAAAGACCATTTTGTATTAATGGAATATAACTTTTCAGCTCAATTCTTACTTCCAACTTTGTAAGATTTGGTGTATTTACTGCACATGTTCTCCATAAATCTGTATCATATTTTATATCTTTCACTGAAATCGTTTTTAAATTCTCTTTAACATTTCCAAGCAGAGCACAAATTCCATAATAGTTAAATTCAACTGACTCTAATTCAAGAATATTAAGGTTAGCAAATATGTCCGATGGTAATTCCAACCAATCATGAGGACATAATATACAATTAGCCAACTTAATGTGAGAAAGATTGATGCATTGACCAAAAGTGTTGAATATGGTCCATATGTTTGCATCTGTATAAATCTCAATCCTTCTAAGTGTTCTTGCCTGAGTACACAATGCTTCCCAGATTAATTGTAGACTCAATTCAGAAGGATTATGGGCAAGAAAAAATGCTTTCTTTAAACCTTTTTGATTGCTTATAAGTTTACTAATGTTACTATAGTAATAGTATATATCTTTAATGTATACCCCCGATTCTGACCAATCAAGCAGTTCAATATCTCTCAAGTTTTCTGCAGCACTGCGTAGGATATTAGGATGTAATCCTTGTGAGAGTCTAATCTGCCTTACGTGATTCAGATTTGTCTCTATATTGAATAAGTTCCAGTCAGAAGCATTCCATTGGTAGCTGCTCTTTGAATAAACGATCATATCAATTTCCGTCAAGGAAGGACAAGCTATGATCATTCCCCTGCAGAGTCTTAAAAGTAGAAGGTTCGTACATTTCTCCGTATCATTTAAAAGTTCTGCATCTATTCTTCCGTCTGTTATCATATCGGGAAAGTCTGGGGAATTAATCATGTACACATAACGTTCTATCGCACTCATACAGCATGGCATACTTAGTGTCTTGACAAGTTGTAAGTAGTTGATCGTCGGCTGTGTGGTTGGGATATCGAATTCCAAGCAATCGAAATGTTCTTTTGATAACAATGGTAGAAATATGCCAAGCATTCTGCCCGCCTTAGTTCCATGCCAGTAGAAAGGCGTTGCCCAAAGATATTCAGCGGCACAATTATACCACATGCGGTTAACACGCAAACATGAGTAAAGATCACTGCTACTCTCAGAAAGTTCAGAGAATATTTGCGACAAACAAAGAAAAGGAAAGTCTTTTTGGTGGACGGACATACTATATGCGGGCAGTTATTTTTTTGTTGGTTCAACTGAATGAACCATGCAACGCCCCAATGTAAATGCTCATGTGATACATTGATATATCCAGTCATGTGACCATGAAGATGTATGGAACTCGTTTGCAGTATACTATACTATGATTACAACTATTCGTTTCATCTTCAAGCAAGCCACAGAAACAGAAGCTGAAGCAACGATCAGACAGTCTATTATGAATACCATTCAATGGGCTTTTCTCAACGTTTAGTTAACAGTCCTTCATCGATATTATCGTTTTCCCCCATCTGACTGATCATGTTTTGAATAAATTCTCACCTTACGTATTGTTTGACATTATCATATTGTCGCCATTTTCAAACAACTTTGATTTGAATGTAAAAAGTAAATGACGTATGTATTCCAATACCACTTTTTTTTTATTAAACAAACCTTGACATGGTTAAACTATGTTGTCATTAATATCGTCGTCATTTCCAATAACGTTCGATTGAAATCTTACGTGACGCTTGAAAGCGAGTCAAAAAAAAGCTAAACAACATGTGCATTTTATGATATCACATATTCGTGTTCATTCAACGAGCATTAAGTGATGTTTGACTTACAATGTCATGACGTTATTTGAAACAGCTTTTGATTAAAATTTATGTGATGCTTGAATAAAAGCAAACCAGAAAATATTGAAAATAATTGTCACTTGCAGTATATTTTTGTGACGACGCCTATTCGTCATTTTCTCCTACATTCAAACTTCAAGAAAAGAAATAGATGCAGAAAAACAGGTTCAATTTGCTCGACATTTTCTCTTCAATCAGACTTGCCTTCCGAGAATTCTATTGGCAAACAACACGAAAATTAGATGCGTTTGTTCAAATACTACTATTCACCTCCAAAAAATGCTGCTGAAAATTAGACCGTAACATGTCACAAACCACTGGAACATATTCGTCCAAAAAACACCTGTTTCCATTGTAAAATCTCACATAGTTCCATAGACTGCGAACAGATAAATTGTATAAATTCAAAGAACCGTCTGTACATATCCAACAAAATCTCAGGTAAATTACTTTGTCTGGTTTGTTGCAATTGTCACAATTCAATAATTACAATATTTGGCTATTACTATTACTATTTGATTAGCCATACATACATATATGGGGCATGCTGCAACAAAACCAGACAAAGTGAATATTTGAATACATGAGTTAAAAATGGCTGATGTGGCTGAAAAATCAACTACAGTCAACTCTGTCTATACCGGCACGAGTGTTTTGGCAGTTTCTGGCCGTTATAACGAGAGACCGGTATATAA